TCTTCCTTGTCTTAACCACTTTAGAGATGTGAATGTTTTCAAATGAATGAATAAATTATGCAGTATTAAGCTGCCATTCACAGGTGAGGGTGTTGTGATGCTGCCAGCCGTTCTTAATTCTCTCTAGAGAGGGTGGTAGAATTCTTGTTTCTGTATATACAGCTGCATTGCAAATGAATAGCCACTAAATGGTGCTAAAGGATTGGGAAATACTGTCTCTTTAGTGCTGCAGAGAATAGTTCTATCTCTCTTTTATTGAACAGGCAGGAAAATATTCAAGGTTATTTCATGCAAGTAAGAAAATACAGCATGCTGCTATGTTTTTTGCAAGTCTTGTTCTTATACCTGTGTTTTCTAGTTTGTAACAATGTTTATTTGGTGAGTAAAATTTCCGATTGCTGTTTAGTTTTTCAGATGAAGTAGGATGAATTCATCGTGTCACTGGTAAATATGTTGCTAGAATATAGATTTTTCTGGCTGTTTTCAGGATGTTATGGAATTAGTCTGTTTTCACACTTTGTGATCTTCTGAGGACAAAACAACTTTTGAAAGCTATACTGTAGCTGCATGCCTTGGACAAATTTAGATGTGCTGGAAGAATCCAGAGGCAGTAGCTTAATTGCTCTTATATTCTTTCCATTTCTAGATTAAAATTCTTTTGTCGATAATTCTACAGGGATGACTTTCGTGCTATAACATGAGTTCTATAGAATCATTGAACAGTTCAGGTCGGAAGGGATGTCAGAAGGCCATGTAGTCCAGCCCCTGGCTAAAGACATGATCAATTTCTAACTCTGACCAGGGCACTCAGGGCTTTTTCACCCAGGATTTTGCAAACTCTGCTAGACTTGCTCAAGTTCATCATTCTTCATGCGCTGCTGGGCCCCAAATGGCTTGCAGTATTCCAGATGTAGCCTAATGAGTGCAGAGTAAAGGGAAACAATCGCTTTCCTCAGCCTGCTGGCTAAGCTTTTGTTTATCCAGGCTGTTAGGCTTTCTTGTTGCCAGAGTGCTCTGCTCATTCATGTTTAGCTTTCTCTCCACCAGGACCCGCATGGTTTTCTCTGCAGAGCTGCAGCCTGGCCAGTTGTTCTCTAGTCTCTACCGGTGCCAGAGATTTATCTTCCCAAGTTCAGGACTTTGCACTTGTTGTCGAATTGCGTGACACTCCTGCCAGTGAATTCTTCCCTCTCTCTAGCTGTTGATATACTGGGCATTCCCCCCACCGCTTTGGTGTCATCCTCAAAACTGGTAAGGGTACGTTCTGTCTTCATCTCTGCCTACTGATAAGGAGAAATATTAGAAGCATAAGCTACTCTCTATATAAACCTCTGAGAAACTATGCTTTTAACCTACCTCCAGTGTCATGAACCACTGAAATCAAGCTTCTGAGCTCAGTGACTCAGCCAGTTTTTCATCCAGCCCTTGGAATTGTAATGACTCAGCTTTGCTACTACTGCTCTCTCCTTACTTGCAGATTCTAATAATTTTATTGCAGAAGGCATTTGGGCTCATTTAGGCTTTTTGTTCCTTTTTATGCTTTGGTAAAGGTTGGCTATTTCTTGTTCCCTTTTTTTTTTTCTTTGTGTGTCTGTGAATTTTTTAGCAACCCAAATGAAGTTGACCTGCCTATGATTCCTCAGTTCATCTTTCTTGCCCTTTTGAAAGTTGGGTGCGAGATTAGTCTTTCTTCCAGTATAAGGTACTTCCTCTAATCTCCATAACCTTTCAAAGATGACAGAGAGTAGCCTTGAAAAAATAGCACCCTGCTCTTTAAGGACCTCTCAATGCATTCTGTTTGGTCCCAGTTTTCTTCCTTACTGTGCAAAGCATAGAAAAATAGTTCAAAATTCTCTCTCATTCACTCACTTATTCTTTCTTAAAAACAGCAAAACCGCTGTTTCACTTTAAAGATCCTCAAAGCTGACTCTTAGGTGGTTTTAGCAGATAGGAAGGGCAGTATTACTCTATTCCTAGATAATGCATAGTTTTGATATGCAAAGCTGTCAATAAAGTTAATTAGGAAGTAATTACAAGACAGGCCTATATTTTTATGAAAGCCTGTTCAATGCTTGTCTTCCCAACTGTAGTTGTATCATAGTACTGTCATGATGCTGTCCTGTTCGAAAAGAGAATTCCAGTAAAATTCAAATATTAAATGGAATTAATTTGTTCTACGGTTAGTAGCAGAGCAAGTCTGAATTTCACGTTCTTCTTTGAATGTTGTTATAGTAGAAGGAAGTGTATTTGTTTTAAAGTGGATGTGGAGTAGGATCAGTGATACAAGCTTGTCATTTACCCTCTCCGTGCTTTAAAAACAAAAACTGTGGTTGAACTCTGGTTCTATAACTTGGCATTTTTGATTCAGGTTTGGAGGTGGCGATTACATGCCTGCTTTTAAGTGCTTTAAGGATGACATAAATTAGCATGTTTTCTTTACAAATAAAAAGATTGCACACTACTGTGATTTGTTCCCATCAATATGGAATCAACTGATAACTAGCCAAAGAACTTACTGAGCAGGGTATTTTTCTCAGTAAGCATGTCTCCTAGATGTTTTACTGGAGACTTTCTAAACCCGCCTGGACCCGTTCCTGTGTTGCTGCCCTAGGGGACCCTGCTCTGGCAGGGGGGTTGGACTAGATGATCTCTAGAGGTTCCTTCCAACCCTGAACATCCTGTGTTTCTGCGATATGTCACCAGGACCTGCGTGCCACATCTTGATCAGAGCTGGACACTGAAGATGCATCTCCTGTTCCCCACTTCTGGCAGATTTTACTGCTCAGATCTCTCCAAAGATTTTTAGGGAGCTTGCACATATGGGAATGTAATTTCAGAGGTGCAGCCGCCACTTCTGACTGATCTTTATGAAATCTTTATGTGATGTCTATTCTTAGAGACACTAGTAATACCAGCTTTGACACTTCTGTAGGTCACAGATTGGAGAGGAACCACTGTGTTGTAAATACCATTGACTTGCTAATTCTGATGCCGTTTCAAATCTTTGCGAAATGGATTATGGTTTTTTACAACTTCTTTTTTTATAACGTGTATTCTGATGAGAAGACTGTTACAAGACCTTGTCTGATTTCCTGCCTAACTTAAATAAGCTCTCTTTTAATATTAACACAAGGACAGGCTGAGGGAGCTGGGATTGTTCAGTCTGGAAAAGAGAAGACTTCAGGGGGAGCTTATCACTGCCTTCCAATACCTGAAGGGAACCTACAGGAAGGCTGGGGAGGGACTTTTTACAAGAGTGTCCAGCAATAGGGCAAGGGGAAATGGGTTTAAGTTGAAGGAGAATAGATTTAGATTGGACCTTAGGAAGAAATTCTTCAGTACGAGGGCGGCAAGACCTTG